TTAAGTTAACTTAATAGTCATGATAATTTTGATGCAAGGTATAGTAATATAACATAGTAGTTTTCACGTTTGTAAAAACACCCTTAGTTACATATAGTCTTTCAGGACTTCTGTTCTTCTTTAGATTTTGATAGGACATGTAAGTTATTGGAACAAGGCTGATTCACAGTTTGTATTACTACTGCATAAGTTTGTACACAACATGGTTCTTACTGGGTAAAATGGTGACTGCTAGAAGTGTATTTTTTACTATGTTACAGTCTATAAGTATAAAAGATGTTACAGTGCTACCCCTGTATTTAGAAACTGTTGGGTCCATGTAAAGTTTGTAGGCATCACAGATTGTTAACATTGCTGTTTCCAGATGGTGGCAATTCATGTGGAACAAAATATATTTATTATCCCCTCACTTTCTTCTCAGGTTTCCCCATGTTAATGCTGCAAAGATGTGCACTATTTAACTGGCATTTCTTTTGATACACTTAGAATTTTATAATATACTTTGCTCATCAATTTTCGAATTCTTATTTACGTGCTGTTCTTCATGGCCAGGTGGTTCGGGTGCTTGACTCGCAATCTGAGGGTTGTGGGTTCGAATCCCCATCCCACCAAATATGTTCGTCCCTTTAGCCATGGGGGCATTATAATGTGATAGTTAATCCCACTATTCATTGGTAAAAGAGTAGCCCAAGGGTTGTCAGTGGGTGGTGATGACTAGCTGCCTTCCATCTAGTCTTTCACTGCTAAATTAGAAATGGCTAGTGCAGATAGCCCTCGTGTAGGTTTGCGCGACATTCAAAACAAACAAACAAACTGTTCTTCATGAAAACTTTACATTGTAATAATAGGTCATATATTGTTATCAATGCAACATGATAAGCGACAATAGGCAAGCTTTCTGACTAATTACATTTTCCAACAGCTAATATGAAAAAAAAAAACATTTTACTTTAGATTACAACAATTTGCCATTTGTTTGTTATAGTTTTTGCAATCATGATTGTTTTATTTCCAAAGTAAAATGCATATTAACAACTAACTCGATTTATCAAACATGCTCTATTAACCAAAATCCTCAAGGAAGTTTTCTGTATTGACCCTATTTATATACCTTCAGTTGAAACTGATTAAACCTAAAGTGACTTACCTTGAGATCATGTTCAACTATCCAGTAACACTCTGATATTTGTTATTACGTTACTTACAACCAACAGAAAGTAAAGTTTTAATTTACTGAATGACGTATATTGAAAAAAGGCTTTCTTATGGGAACGTTTAACTTATTTTGTTCTCAGATTGAAGTTCTTCACTGTTGGGTTCGCGTCAACCACCTAAGCAAATAATTTCAGTGCACTTATATCTCTGTTAAAAATCCAATCAGACTCTAACTATATAAATTCCATAATAAATCTTTAATAAAATACTTAATGAAAAAAAATATTATTATTTTAAATATATATATATACTAAAAAGCTTGCCAAATTTCATGAAGATACTTTTATAACACTAAAAGTTACAGTAGTGGTTATATGATAGTTAAAAGGTCAGTCACTTTGACCAACCCTATATTTAGAGGGTTAATAAGAGGTTTATACAACAATGAAGCACATGGTTCACACCTTTTCATTGTTATAGTTTAAAATTGCCTCTGAAAGCTCTCTTTATGCATGTTGTCAACACAGACATAAAGAAAACAATGAATGTTGAGGTGTTTGTTTGTTTGTAATTAAGCACAAATCTAGACAACGGGCTATCTGTGCTCTACCCACCACGGGTATCGAAACCCGGATTCTAGCGTTGTAAGTCCACAGACATACCGCTGTGCCATTGGGGGGGTTTTTAGCTAGTGAAGTACCGAGAAACATGTTGGTTGCAGTATTACTCTTTTTTTCACTGAACCTTTATGTTCAAGTTATTACTTTGAAACATATGATTGCTGTTAAACTTACATTGTTTTAATTAACTTTAAACACTCCCCATCAGTTGACAGGTATTTCAGTTGGTACAATATATACACTGTTAGTGATTAGCATTAGCAACAGCCTGCTATGCCACATAAAAATACACAGGTATCAATAAATTCCTAATTTATTAAAACTATAAACATTAATCAAAAGTTTAATTAGTAAAGGTTCTGATTAATCATTTATTCACATCGCCCAGCCCATGTGACTATCACTTTATCTGAAACTCATGGAAAGCACATAACCAGGGAACAGCAGCAGTCACATCCAGTGATCTGCAAAAAAAAGCACAACTAACTATTTCATGTTATATCATAAACAAGAGTCATTTCTTAACACTTATTGGAAACAAAGAAACACCTCAAAATTCTGTAAAATAAGTTGTGCAGTAAAATTTTGTGAAAATTAAAAAAAATACAAAGAGACAGAAGTAAAACCTTAACCAAGATTTACCATTTTTATTTCCTTTGCAATTCTGTACTTTTAAATTTATTTGTTGTATTCAAACTAAGACAAAGGTTATATGTAAAGTTCATAAAGGCTTTTTTCTTACACATCAGGGTTTGACAAAGGAAGACTGAGGATTAACTATACTGAATTGTTTTCTATTAAATTCATTTATTTTTTTTTAGACAAATGCATAACAGATGATTTTTTGCAATTTATTGAAAACAATTATAGTAAAACAATCTATATGTCTACCTATAAAAACAATCTTTCTATCTATCTATATATATATATATATATATCACTCCAGTGTATAATTTGAAAAAATAATAACATTTTTGGAAGTTTAGAAGTTATTAGGCATAATGAAAGAGAAGGTCTGGCATAGATCAATACGCATAGTATTAAAAGTTAATCCTGTTCCAATAAGAATCAGGTTAAAATATTTCAAAATTATATACTTATGTAACAGAAAATGTATGAACAAAAATTATCATATTTTTTTACATAAAAGTTGTAACTCAAATACTTGCACCTGTAAAATAAGTTATAACTTAATACTGTCTCAATTTTCAAAACATAAGTTTGAAGCTAAATATATATATAGTTAAGGAAGCTTATAAAATATTATATTACCAAAAGATTAGTATTTTTTAAGTTAATTTAATTGTCTTCTTGTAAACACTGAAGTTGTGTAAAAAATGTGAATAGAAGGATATTTGCATGTTATTATCTAAAAACACTAGAACTTACAAAAATGTCTGGAATATAATAATGTAAAATTTATCTAAAGCAAGTTTCTTAAAAATAGATAAATCACCTCAGTTGTGATTAGAATTCACAGTGTTTAACTACCTTACGAAGAAAATAATTCCAGCTTGTCCATTAAGTTTACTTCATATAGAAAATAACATAACATCATGAAGTCATACTAAATTTAAGACACTTAAGTGAAAACAAGTATCACTATAATGCTTACTTATTAATCATCAAATTATGAAATACTGTGATACATTTTTATGATTAACTGAGATAAATATTTGATAATTTGAAATATGTCTACCCCAGCTTCTTCAGCATCTGCTTGGTCGAATGGTAAATTCACAGTAATATCTGGAGTTTCGTTAATTTCTGTTAGTTCTTCTGTATTATAATTCTGTTGTTTAGCTCTGTAGAAGAGTCCAAGATCTGTGAAAGCATGAAAGGAGTAAATTTGTAAGGTATATTTAATACACAAAGAAAATTATCAATTATTAACAACCAAAATGTTACTTGAATACATCTAAATGAAATTTTTATTTGAAGCCAAGAACCAGTTTATAAGAATAAAGATTTTAGAAAAAGATGCATAATAATAATAATAATAATATAGCTTCAAAATTATGGTACCTTACAGTTTTAGGAGATTATCCATTGTGTTTAGAAAAAATAGAAAAAAATAACATTATTTACTTTCTTCATTATTTAATTCTATATCTTTATTTACAATTATTTATTTTATATTATTGTGCCACAGTAATTGAAAATTCTTAATACTGATATATTTTTAAAACAAAACTAAGACAATCAAAGAAATTGTGAATATATTATTATGAATTTCAACATAAATACTTGACTAAACCCAGCAGAAACTTTTAATACTAACAGAGTTAAAACAGTTTTCAATTATTTTAAAGTCAAAATCACCTTATTATAGGAAACAGTCTTCTAATTCAGAATTTCCAAGAATGGGAGCTGTGGGTCTCCAGGGGATTGAGTAGACATAAACTAATAACTTTAAATCTTTACACTGAACAAAAACCCACTGACAGTTAAGTTACGCTGGTTAGTATTATATATAATAACATAACATACATATATATAGGGGTGGGGGAGTCTGAAGTATGAAATCAGCAAAAGATTGTTATGATAAACAATTAAAGTTTTTGGAAGCACTGTTCTAGATTCAGTATTACTTATATAGATATTTGATTTTCATCCCTACTACACCATATTTTAATCAAATTAATGTTCTTTTATTCTTCATATTAATTTAGTTTTTTATTTATTTACACAGCTGTAAAATAAATGAATACAAAACACAAATATAAACAGTAACAAAGTTCAGTTTATCATGTGACATAAAAACATGTTACATTGTGCATGTATTCAAAGGAAAAACACAAATATAAACAGTAACAATGTTTAGTTTATCATGTATCATAAAAACACGTTACATTGTGCATGTATTCTAAGGAAAAATACAAATATAAACAGTAACAAAGTTCAGTTTATCATGTATCATAAAAACATGTTACATTGTGCAAGTATTCAAAGGAAAAACAAATATAAACAGTAACAAAGTTCAGTTTATCATGTATCATTAAAAACATGTTACATTGTGCAAGTATTCAAAGGAAAAACAAATATAAACAGTAACAAAGTTCAGTTTATCATGTATCATTAAAAACATGTTACATTGTGCAAGTATTCAAAGGAAAAACAAATATAAACAGTAACAAAGTTCAGTTTATTATGTATCATAAAAACATGTTACATTGTGCATGTATTCAAAGGAAAAATACAAATGCATCAAGTTATGGTTAAGATTTACTATTTGTTTTAAGAGTTACTTAAAAAGATTTATTAAGTTCCTCAAATGAAAAAAAAATTGAAACTATTGTTTACATTTATTTCAAATGATGTAAGATTATCATTGTCATGGTTAGTAGGCTATAGAATCACCTAAGTCTAATTATTAATAACTTAATTTTTCCTATAATTAGTTACTAATTGCTATCTAGTTTATATTCTGAAGTGACCATACAACAATGCATTCATGGAAGCCTGATCAGTTGACTGATGCCATCAAAGTAAAAGTTCAAATTGGGTAAAACAAGAGTGAAATTTTAGAAATGCTGTTTCCTAGGGATCTCGAATCTAGCAATGTTGCTGACAGGAAACATTCATAAAACCTACTAAAATGAAAAATATCTGTGTTTCAATATGGTAATACAGTGTAGTTACTTTACCTGCAGAGAAACAAATAGTCTATAAGCATTGTTAATAGGAGTGAACAATGTATTTACCACATTTCTGAAATTCAAGCATGTTAAACCGGGGAGTCAATAACTGTGGCCACTTATGTAGATAACAGTGTAAGCATACAACTCTTTGATTATCTGCAGATGTTGTTAAACATGACGAGGATCCTTTAAAAAAATGATCAACAAATAATCCAGGATGTGAGATCTTCCTTTACATCTAGAGTTCCATAGTTCACAATTTTAGCCTAAATAACAAAACAAATATGAGTTTTTCTGTACAAAATTAAGAGTTTTCTAAGAATCAGGAGCCTGAAGATAGTTTTGGGAAATGACAATTTTTGGTGATCAATGATAACCTGTCGTCAAATACTTCTCTTTCTACATCATGGCAGTAGAAGAGAAGAATTTCAACATAATTAGATTCTAACAAGTTAAAGAACTCTGAAGTATGGTAATTATAAATTATTGTTTAAGGGACTTCACAATTTAGGACATTAGTAATGGTTTGTAGTAGCATGTTATTTTATTGGTTTGTAAAATATTTATCAGAAAAATAATATATAGTATTTTTATATATATATTTTCCTATTATTCTTTATAATTAGTTGTTACAAGATTGCCAAAGCAGTTGTGTTTTATATTTTTATTGAAATAAACTTTGACTGAACCATCATTCTTCTGAAATGATAATACTAGCTTAATAGTGAACGTTATAAATAATTGAATAAAGATTCAAATGCTGTAAGTTTGTGTTTTCAAGTTATGAGGATAACTCAGAATCCAAGAGAATATTTGTGGACCATAAGAGTCGGTGTCAGTCAAAAAGCTTACAGAATTGGTATATAAATAATAAGTTGGGAAGCTAATTATTTCTTTCTTGTAATACTGTTTAGTCAACAGAATGAATCAAAACTTTAAAAAAAAATAGGTGCAAAATTAAAAGAAATACTAGTAATTGAAAACATATTGAAGAAAACTTTTAGACGGTCCCTTACCCTTTCATGCATTTTTCTGGAATTGGTGTTAGAGGATGATAAGTGTCGAGTAATTTAATAAGCTTTCAGTCACCTCGTTTGACATATGCATAAATCTTTAAGTTGCACAGAAAAAAAAAAAATTAACTTTGGCACATTTTCCTGTTTAGAGGACAAAAATATATATATTTCACCAAAATTCAAAAATACATTTGATTGTTTATAAATAGTAGTAAAATTCAAGGAACTATAGAATTTAAGCATCTCCCTACCTTGATTAAAGTCTACTTTTCTGACAGGACCAGTTGAAGTGCTGCTGATATCCTTAGCATGTAAAAGATTCATTGTAGCCACCATACCAGAGCTAAGAGCTGGCTCAAACTCATTTGCAGACAGCATGGATTCAATTTTAGTTGATTCCTGATAGTTAGTTTTGGGTTTTTTTATTCTTGCAGTTTTTCTTATTTTTGTTCTCACTTCCTTGACAGGGGTACATTTTGACCTGTGGTTTACAAAAATAATTGTATCCATCTATTTAATAACTAATTATAAGACTTCATTTGTGTTATGAATGGTATCTTTATAATATCTCATGTTCACAATTTTACAAATTTAATGCAAAATCAAGATGGGATGAAAATTGATAACTTGAACAAGTCACATATTTTTTTTGGTATTTAAACAAATAAGTGAATGACTTTTCATGTTTATGCTAGAGGAGTTTTTAATGCTGGCCAAGATACAAGCTCTCCTCCTTCTGATTGTGGAGTCTTGTTCCAGTATATTTTGTTAGTGTGTAGTCCAGATAGCGTGGTGCTGTTCTAATTTTGAACTATTGACCAAAGGGAGAAAACTGGTTGGCAGCAACCTACTGCTATATTTTAACATTACTTAGTTAATTGTTTATTACTTCCTAATTTAAATAAAAAGAGATTGTGCTTTAAATATACAACCTAAAGAAATGGGAATCAAACTGCTGAACACTACAGCACCATGTAGCAACAGGATAAACAAACGCACGCCCAGTCTGTCATAAACAACCTTGCATATAATTGCACAAACTAAACAAATTAATCCAAGTTAAAAAAATTCAACAGTTCTTTCTGTCACATTCAAATCATTATCTTTATTGCATATACTGTAACTATGAGCAAGAACATCAGCCATTTTACTTGGTTAATAAACACATACCTTTTAAATACCTTTGATTATGATGAAACAAAAACTTTTTACTTTTATCTAAAACACGGTTACATATATAATGTTTCAAATTACATAATAGAATCTTTTTCATTTTAAATTTAAATATATGATATTTATTTACAAAAAATTTGTTTTTTTCTAAAATGAACAGAAACGAAACATGGAGACATATCAATACCTGCAATACCAATACTTGGTGAGGCCCTAAGCTATATAAAGCTTGGAGGCTCCTTGTCTCACCCAGAAGGTCTCACAAAAGTGCATACCAAAACAGGATCTTGGGTCACCACAAAAAAATTAAAAACATATCTATGCCTTTTAATTATTTAATAGCAAGGTATTTAAAGTGAAAAATACAAATTATTTTCAAATGAATGCATTTACTGATTACACATTTCAAAAACTAAAGTACACATAAAAAGCCACATAAAATTTTAAAAGCAAAAAAAAAAAATACAAATTGAAATTTTGTGCAGATTGTGAAGCCCTGAGCTGTAGCTCATTTAGCTTATGTCTAAATCTGGCACTGCCTGCATCGAGTTGCTTGTTTCTTTTTATTACATTAAAATAATCTGTTATAACAATATATTGAATGGCAAGTTAAATCACCCCTTATCTTTAAGGATATTTCCAAATGGCTTACCATAAGTACTTATTGTAAAAAGTATATTTTGCTTATATTTCACATAATTTAAAAGACTAAATTCAAATTAAAATGGATTGTAGTTAGAATATTTATGCTTTTTAAATGAGCTCCAATGGGAACATTTCTTATTTTCTGGCTTCCAATTGAACATTTGCCATATATACACATTTCACAGGTCAGGACTGTACTTTTAACTGGTTCTTATTTAGTCTATTTTATTCTATAATTTTGCAACTAGTCTTGTTAATGTTTGTATGGTAATTCCTATATATCTACCAATTTTATTCAAATGTGGATATGTACCATTTGAGTCAGCAAATTTCTGGAAATCTTACAGTTTGATCACAATTTGAACATTTAAAGATAATCAACTCAAAACAAATTAATACTTCCAATATTTTTTATATAACTGGCTTCCTTAACTTATTTTTTAATTTTGATCAGAAGCTACTAATAATTAGTATAAAGGTTTTTTTTACATACTTTGAGTTGAAGAAACAAAGTTTAGAAAGAATTATGGAAACTTGATAGATTCAAACTCTCACTATGCTTTTTTTTGTAGGTTTTACTGTTGATTTTGTTACCTAAGTGTACGAATATATGATAACCTGAATACACTTGTAAATTTAAATTGCAAGACTTTCAAGGATTCATCATCAGTTTGAAGGCCTTGAAAATGGCAACATAAATTCTAACACTTTTTTGGTTTTTAAGCACTTGTGTGAAACCTTTTATTAATTCCATTTTACAGATTTTAATAGAAAGTTTTATTTTTTTCGTTTAATTTTTATAAAAAAATACTGTTCGAATATGCGACTTAATAAAGTCTATCTTACATTATCTAGTGGCAATATGAAACATCAAAAGACTAAAAAAATGCAAGTTAATTTATTGTAGCAGTGATTTCCATATTCTATTCCTGTATTATAATAGTTATCTAAGCATTGAAAAGTGCCCCAGTAGAGTGTTTGTGAAATGAACGAGGAAAGCTCATAACATCTATTTTAAATATACAAGAGTAACTGCTCAATTTAGTGTCAGTTTTTATCAGTTTACACCTATCTCTTTAACCATACTTTTAGATTGTAAATCTTACATTAGGATACATCTTGTAAAAGATATGCTTACACTGAATGTCCTTTTGATGGACGGTGTGTAGATTCTTTATTTATTCGACAATTAGCTTTATTAGAGTTTTCAGAACAACCAATAGCTACTCGTTGTCTATCATTATCTAAATCTTGTGGTTCATTTATTGATTGTCCACCAACTGTAAGTAACCTGATGAGGTAAGAGTGATCAAATATCAGTCTACTAAAATAAACTATATTACAACAAAAAAGTTTTTTTTATGTCAGTAATTGTACAGAAATTCTATGGGCTCTGTTTTACATATGCAGAAGGGCCCAAATTATAAACTATAAATAGTATTCAGAATGATGCAACAAACATATTTTGCATAAAAATGTAACACGTATTTAAAATATGTACAATTTATTCAAATACTTGAAATGAAGTAAGATTTAAAATCACATATATTTCTAATTACACAGACATGACTTGGGTAAATTTACATAACTTTAAATCATTTATTTGCCTAACATAATAATAATTAGAAAGATAAAGAAATAAATATCAAAGATTGAATTTTACTTCTTTAAAAGCATTTTCTAATTATACTTACAAGCTCACTTATATTACAAAAAACAAGAAATGACACAAAATTAAGTCAGTGTTAGTATTAGTGTCAAAATATACAAGCAGATTAGGGAACACATAATAAGAACAAATATGGCATAGTAAGAATATACAATAAGAAAAGTTACAAATATATATTTCAAAGTTTTGAAACAGCAACTTGTGGGATAATAAACAATACACAGATCATGTTTCACTGTTAGAGATGAAACGTTGTGTATAAATAAATCTATTATCCAAAAAAATAGTTGTTTCAAAACTTCATACTGTTAATAAGTTAAGTGGGTACCTCTTAAAAAGCAAGTAGTGAAAAAATACATAGACAAGTTATTTGCATGCAGAACACTAGATATACTTAGAAACTAGCAATGTATGAAGAATTTTAGGTTTATGAAAAAGTATTAATTCTAGATATATCCAAGAATCAGTATCAATATATATACATCACATATTAAGATGTTCACCTCTCAATATCATCACTGGTAAGCATAGAAGAAGAAAGAAAACATTGCGTGGTCAGTTCTATGAAGTAGCACTGTATATGAACATTTTATGCTATGAATTCATGTTTTTTAAATAAATACACACACAATCATATATACATTTGTCATTCAATAGTCAAAGACATGGCTAAAAAGCAATGTGTATCTATATCTCTTGGTTTACTGACCATCACAAGGACAACCACTGGGCATGAGATCCTGAGAAGGATTAAAATATTCCTTTAGTCATTAAACCTGTCACTATGTTTGCATCCAACTTTAATAGTTCAGTTTTATTTTCAGGCTATCAGCAGGTAACAATTCACTAGAAAGTTTGTACAAAACAAAATGTGCTTTGACACTAAATCACTCTGATGTAATTTTAACATATCCGATTTAGTATTGATGCACAACCACTAAAGTCAAGTTTTTTGCTGTGAGCCTAGCTGCAATACACACAAGATAATAAAAATAAACATATTTTCATTATTCATTCTAAGAAGCATAATACTGGTATCTGATTAATATACATGAATTTCATCATCCTTACATCAATGTAAAACTGTTGTTATATTGGCTGGAGATTCTTCACAGAAGTATATGCTTGTAGGTTAACTTACTTTTAAATTATTGCTAATTAGTTTACCAATTTATTAGAATATTGGGTCTGATTAATCTTTCAAGTTGATTTAAATATGTTACAAAATTATTTTTTATATGCACTTGGAAATATATTAATATAAACAATTATATAAACCTACATGACCTTAAATGATAAATTTTCCTAACAAAGCTTTATTAATTGAGTAGCTAAAATATAGGCTTAAGCATAGATGTATGTATAAAAGTTTGGGTAATGATACTAACATAGAATATATCCTAGCAGTCTTTCATGACCTAATATTAGATTAGAGAAACACTATGCCTTCAAAAAATTTAATATTTAAATTTAATTTTGCAAATTAAACAATATAAAAGTCAGTGAATATGTCCTGACACTTCTGATATAGGTAAACAACAGTTACAATACCATGTTTCTGCTCTTTCTATATTGATTGATACAAATCAGTAAAAGCAAATACAATAATACATGATAAAAATAAGCAATAAAAAAAGTTACAAAGATATTTCATATGAAAAATATACATGAAGTTTTGAAGCAGCAACTTGTAGGATAATAAACAATAAACAGACTTATGCTAATGAAGATCTATTTTCTGTGCACTGGATACATCAGCAACTTTTAAATACATTGTAAAAAATCAAATATGTCAAGTGATCTATGAACATATTCTGTTATATTAACTTCTGACCAGAGCATGCCACCTATTTAGAGCAAAACTAAAACTAATAAAATATACTTTTCTTACATTTTTACTTATAAAGATTGGAATGCATTGTTTCATTAGTTTGATACCCTAATAGAAAAAGAAACAAAATACAATGATATATTTATTACAAGGAATGCAAATGGACAGAGGTTATTTTGATAAACTATATCTTTCTTATGTCTCCGAACAATTGCAAAAAAACCTGCAGCTCCTCTACATTTTCACATTAAATAGTCTTCTATTAATTAACAGTAAAACTTAAAACATTTACAGAGATTTGCTCAACAACAATAAAATTTTAATTATGATATAAAATATATCATAGTAATTAACAGATAATTGTGTATGTAAAAAAAAATTACCTTTGAGTAATTCCAGGTATATGTAAAACTTTTTCTCCAATCATCTGAAATGTTTGGTTTCAGATCTTTAAGTCTTGTTTGTTTATAAATAGTAGAGTACTTTTAGGCTGACATGAATTCATTTTTGTTCCTGAAAACACAATTCTAAAAATTTCATGTACACATATAAATAAAATTTATTACTATTAGTGATAACATAAAATAAATATTCCAAAACTGTTATTCAATCTGATAGCATGTCAAATATCTAAGTCTAAAACATTTTATGAAAATTCAATCAGCTAAGATGCTATAATATCAAAATAAATAAATTATAGACAATCTATCAACTTAGCTGATGAATTAAAAAACAAACAAAAACAATGAGTGTTTAAGTGTTTCTCAAACGTCAAACAGCTCAATACTAAGACTACACATTTTACTAAAACACAAACTTGAGTCTTGGTTGTTGATTAGGGTGCGAAAAGAAAGGAATCTGATATTTATGTGTGCCAGAATCTCTAATTAAGTTCCGTGAGATACAATTGATCACAGCTCGGTATAACGTCAGTAAGTGTGAGTTAGGGCTAAACTTTGATAATGGTGCGAAATCTAAACGTTGGGAAGAAAAAACGAGATATTTTATTTTGCTGGAGAAACGGGTTGACTTATTAAAAAAATGTTTGAGATATTCCAGTCAGCGCTATGTACTTTGAAAAGAGAATATTAGTAATATTCATTGTATCTATATCGCTTATAAATTTGTTGCCCTGGCAACCCTCTGGTTTCCACCTAGCGTTTAAAAAGTTTATACACGTTTAGATGAGACGATTGAAATTAAGAATTAAATATGGTCATTATATATATGGAGAGAGAGAGAAGGGGAGATTTTAGGTTACATACTGTTAAAATAATAAAAAAAATACATGTGTGACTTCCCCTATTTCTTAAAGAGTGACCCTCAGTCATAATATGAAATTCACAATCTTTCAACTTATTTTCATAATAAATTTTATCAAAACATTAAAAAAAAAACAGAAACCTTTAAACGCAAACCAGGAAACTATTTAGAATAATGGAAATAATGTGAAAATTTTTAAATGTTCACCTGCTTAAGCAAGTAAGGAAAAACAACAACACCAACTCACGCGTTTCACTTACCTTATACACATTTGTGTATATAAACATAAACCATGTACTAATTATGCGTCGTGGAGGGTTGCTATTGCCCCTGTGAAACACTTACACAACACGACGCAAAGGTAAGGAAAAGAAGCATAACCTTTCGGCAATGACACGTATTCAAATTCACGATAGATATATGTTTATGTGTACGCGTGTTTGTACTCCACCAAAGGAAAAGTGAGAACTAAACAGCATTTATTTAATTGCTGTAGTGCATATTGGTGTATAGAAGACATATTCTCTGTAGAGAATGTCTGGCAAGCACTGTGAATGTCTCAGTGGAACATACACTTGCTCAGCACATATCTGTGCTTTTAACTGTGACATTTCCAAATGACAATAGCTCACACAGTTATCACTCACATATACACGAGTCTTCCACTATTTTTTGGTTGTTATAACAAAAGACTCCGGTTCCAAAAGGGAGGAATTATAGATTATAGTTTCTACACAAATAACTGAAATCGGTTTAGACATTTTACAAAGCCAGCCTCCTTTTCTGAACATGATAACGTATAAGAACAAACATTTTATATCATAAAGACTCTACTCAAATACAAACACAGAACAGCTTTAAGCATTTTCGAGAAATTTTCACATGTGCCCTATCTACCTTTGCGATACACTTACAGTTAACGCTAGCAAGTTTCCTCATTGTAACTTGTACTTAAAATGTTAAGCAAAATATTCAGCAAAACTACGTGCTTATGAAATATTTCACTCTGCACGATTGATAATTTGCCTTTTCATGATTATTTGAATTCAAATCAATCAAGGAAAGATTCTTCCCTATTTTGCTCAAAATACCGGATAAAAAACCATGTTTTCCCTAAAACGCAGTGTGAGCTAACCTGTTAATTTTATCTCTTCAATGAAACTTTACTACCTGCCAAATACTTCTCTTTAAACTGAACATATTATTTCACCAGTATCAGTCAATGATTCTTCATCGCAAGTCAGTAATAAGTTGCAGATATCTGAAGACCTTAGCCTAAATACAAAAACAACAATAACAGAATTGCATCATCTCTCCTTAAGTACCTCACTACTCATTCCACAAATAAAAATATGGAGGGCATAAACTCCAGATGCTACCAAACCTAGACATAGAGTATTTTACTTGATGTTAAACAGTATAGTTCTCCACTGACATATTCTGTTAAAGATCTTAACAGAAAAGAGGATTGACCCATGATAATGAGTAAGATTGACTCATGATAGCGAGTACGATTAATCCATGACAACGAGTAAGAGTGACCCACGACAATAAGTAATATGAGTACCAATAAATTAACTACATACCATAATCAATTTCAAGAACATGAAAGTCCACTAAACGTGTTTCCTATCCCACAAAACTCAACAAAAAAGCTATTGCCATGATATAATTTGCCAATTACGAAAACAACCAAAGTTAATAAATATATCATTTTTACATGAAAAGGTCATTCCCCAAGTAAAAAATATGGAGGAGTAGTCTCCAGATACTGTCAATCCTCTACACAGTTTACCTGAATACAGAACTATTTGGTGTTAACATAATTTTCCACTGATATCTACAGTAAGAAAGTTAGTCAACAACAGGATTGAACTATGACAATTAGCAACTTGATTAACAAGGAGTTAGAGTGGTCAATCAATTTAGATTCAAGATTTTTTCAGTGGACTAATTCTACAGGATTGGTTTTAACGTATTTAAAAAAGTTGAGTGTCACAGACGAAGATGGGGTGGGTTCTCACAATATCAGATACGCTACATGTAGAATAGCCTAGGTTTTTCTTCGCGCTCAGTCAGTTATAGTGCACTTTATTAATAAATCTGAATACCGGAAACATACAACTAGAAGTGACTGGTCTAACATTTATGCAGGCATTTTAAAGTGAACAATACCGTCTTTTACTATCTGAATGTAGAACAAAAATAACCGATGCCATTATTTTTACTGATTATAACCCTTATATTACAAAACCATATGACACAATGAATTCTTTAAGATGATTCGACGAACCCTTCGAACACCACCTGTGTCTGCCACCGAGTTAACTGTATACCATAACCAATTTCTCTTCTGTTAGACTTTTACGCACGCCAGTTTAAGCTAAAAAGAAGAGAACAACACCCGATACCTTTCATCTACCACTAAACTTGACAAAATGGCCACTGTCATGGCAATAAATGTCATATGTAGAAACCATCGAGTTAAACATCTCCCTTTTCATTGAACAAAATTGATTTACAAAAAAGTGGTAGTTTTAAGATATTTTAACGACTAAAAATGTCACGTTTTCTATTATTTAATTTATTTACGTGATTAAGTTTTGACATAACTGAATTATTATTATCAAGAATATGCAGCAATTTTATTTATTCTTGTGAATTATTCAACCAGAAACGCTGTTTAAAACACTAAAATATAAATGTGAAGCCCAATTAATCATTCGATTTACCACTCGTCTCCGAGTTATGTTGGTTTCGAGGAATTCCATCCTTTATCAGTAACACTGGACAGGGTTACTGACGAGGCGTAGAATTCCCCGAAACCGCTATAACTCAGTGACAGATCGAATAATAAATTTAGCTTCACATTTATTTTATAAACTGCATTTGTTTAAATGTTACCGAAGGTTAAGTCTTTCGAATGGCAGTTATCTGGTATTTTCAAGAATCTTACCTTTGAATAACACTTAATTATATTAACCTAGTTTTAATTATCTCAAGAAACTCAAAATACAAAACATTATCCAATTTATTTTGTCTAATCAAAAATGAACTCAAGTTTTGTTCTAAATTTTGTTGATATAGAGCAATGGTTACAAAAAGCGTGGACTATTACTATTATCTTAGCTTTACCAAGGATTATTTATATAGAGGGTGGTCCAAAATTTATCTTTCCTATTTTAAATTTAAAAATTAAATAACCAAAGAAATACAACCTTGCAAATATAACCGTTCGAGTTGGGCTACAATATTTTGAAAACTGCATGGTTGTATTTCTTTAATTATCAAGTTTAAAATGGGAAAGACAATTTTGGACCACTTTGTATATCCAGGATGCTTCTTTGTGACTTTTCTTTATAATTCAAATATTCAGTGATTGATCGTTAATCTTCCAATTGTAAGTGTATATCAAAAGTTACCATTTCCTCACTAGGGTTCCACGTACTCAGGCTATTATGACTTTCTGAGTTGTCCAAAGACGTGTTGAATAATGCATTTCCCATAAAAAAAGGTTTTCTAGTTCAAACATACGATTTCCATATATCAAAGTAACTGAAATTTAACCTCTTGAGGTACATTATGTAACATCTAGTTTTCGTTGCGTATAATTTATAAAATAAAGTATTATATTTACAGATAAGCTCTGAAATACCAAGTTTGTGGTTTCTCTACTAATATAGAATTTAATGTTCAGAAAGGTCAATTATCTGAGGTTTTTTAAAATTTCAACCAAAATTCTTTCCGTTTACAAGATGAGAAATTTATGTTATTGATTTGTAGTTAATGCGATATTACATCACAATAAGACTGTTTGTTTGTTGAATTTCGTGCAAAGTTACTCGAGAGCTATCTGCGTTAGTTGTCTCTAATTTTGAAGTCATACTCTAGAAAGAAGACAATTAGTCAACACCACCCACCACCAATCCTTCGTTTATTCTTTACCAACAAATACTGGGATTGATCGTAACATGGGTGAAAGAACATTTTCAATAACAGGATTCAAACCCGAGACCCACAAATTATGAGTCGAGTACCCTAACCACCATGTCCAAGAAGACTAAGAATCATTTTTTAATTTTCTGTCCCTTTACAGTTTTCAGACAGAAGGGTGTAGAGATAGCTTTTCAACTGCACAAGTTGAGTGTTTCATTAAACAAAATCTCTAATCATGAAAAGTGCTTTTTAAAGCTGCATCAAAAAAATAAATTTTTACTTCCAAAGGTTCGAACCTTTGTTAGTACTAATTTGAATAATTTAACGATGACATAACTACTAGTTTATATTTGATTTAAAACCATTTTTATTTTACACATAAATAAAGTATTCAGATGTAGTTAAATGTAAATTAAGTGTTCTTTGATTATCTTTTTTAAATAAGCCAGAAAAGTGCTTTTCAAGGCTGACAAATTGAAACCAAAAGGTAAAGATTTCTTATTGGTCAAAGATTTTTTTATTTCTTCCTAAAAAAAATTAGCATATGAAGAAAAATATGTAGTTCTTTATCTCTTTAAATTAAGGATGAAACACAAAACAAACAAAACTTCAAAAACTAGTAATATTACTCCTAACAGTTCTCCATTATCAACAGTTAAGGTAAACTTTTAGTAAAGATTCAGAAACACACAACACCAGTGTCTTTACAACACATAGAAAATTAGCATGAATCAGGTTGTTTATTTCTATTCAATGAGAGGTTAAAAAACAAATCCAATAATATAAGCACTGGAGGTGGTAGTGGTGTTCAGTTTTTGCACAAAGCTACTCAAGGGCAGTCTGCAATAGAAATTCTCAAGTTTGAAGTGATAGAAGACAGCTAGTCAACATAACCCATTACTAATTATTTACAAATTAATAGTGGGATTGACTGGTGATAGGTTTTGATCCCATAACTCATAGATTGAGAGTCAAGCATTCTAACCACAAGGCAAACTGGGGGGAAATGTTTTCTTGAGGTTAATTTTTTCTTTGTTATTTCTACAAGTCCATACATTCATTTTCCAGCTGATCAACAAAATGTTATTATGCCTGAGTAAATAAAAAGATGCAGTTTTTTAAATGGCTTTAGTCTTATCAAGCTACTGTATTTTATTTTGAAATTAAACTATATTTGCTGTCTGAATTCTGATATTCTACACATTAACATATTCATTAGAATGATGAATGAAATTTATTTGAAAGCTGTGAGACATCAAGAAAAAAGCTTTATAAAATACAGTAGAAATTAGTGAAAGTATCTTCATACAAGTTACCGCTAAGTGACTTCAAAAAATAGTTTCCAATTCAAACTCTTGTGGTAAGTTAATTAACAAAAGTATCAAACATCGATGGAGCAATTAATAGAGAACGCATAATTTCTCTCAAATCATTTTAATGACTTCATGTTAGTTTCCACTAATTCAATAACAACTGATGATTAGAGTTTGTTGAATGAAGCTATATCCACACTTTGAACCTGGAGAAAAAAAGAAATTAAAGATATTTAATTAAGACAAACTATTAAGTCTCCTTAGAGCATAATTTACTTAAAGAAAAAACTACATTAAAGTCAACACTTATTAAAATTAGGTTAACAAATTAAATTCACAAAAAAACAAATACCACTATAAAATTATTTCATGTTAAGAAAAGTTACAGTTAGACTATTACTAACTTTGATGGAGGTTATCTTTTCTCTTGAAAGCAAAATTTTCTCCATGTTTTCCAAAATATATATTACTCTTTTGGAATATTTTTCTATTCTATTTAGCAGATATACACTGTAGGTGGATATTTAATTACATTCATATTAATCCTAGTTTCTATTTATTCATTCATTCTTTTAGGGTTTTAATTTAAACTTAGTTTCAATATTAAAAGTGTTTAATTTTACTGATTAATTAACTAATTCTGAAGAGCAACCAAAGATGTTAAAAAAAAAACACACATAACCAGGCTGTATTTGTATCACACCATATAATTTTTTCTTTCTACAAATTATTTTTAACTGGCTGCATCATGGAGACAGCTCCAATATACTATTTCATACCGGGCTATATAAGATTTGTGTCTATCTTACTGTATCTTAATGCAATCTTATCTTCCTGTTGTGTGACTATAAAAAAAAGAAGTTTTTTTAAAATTAAGACCTTTTAACTAAACTGTCTGTATATACAAAAAATGAGTTATAACTTAGTCTCCAGACAATTAGTAAAATCAATAATGTGTGATGAAAAAAAGTAAATACATCATTACAAGAAAATAAACTAACATTACTGACGACAGTAAAGAAAAACCAAAACACAACATAAGAGTGGTACTTCGATTACGGATTTATTTGTGATGTCAAGAGTTCTTACATAGGACTGCAGTAAACCTACCAGTTCATCAAGTTCTTCAATTTTCTCTTGAAGCCAATCAATACTGACTTTCTCATCCTCCACAACACAAGATATCTGGAGCTTATGAATTCCATAAGCCAAAGGAACAGAACGTGCTGCAATAAATAAAAGGATGAAAATTATTTCTCTCATATGGTAAGAAATCCCATTTTTCTTGTATGTTAAGTTGAACTACAATTTATGTCAATCTCATTTGGTAAGAAACCAATGCTCTCCTCCATGTTCAGTAGAAAAACCAAGTTTTCTCTTGTATAGAAAAAAAAAATGCAAAGTTGTAGTTGTTTTGTGAAACAAGAAAAAAAGAATTATACTTGTCATGAGAAATTAGTATTAGGACTATTACATTTTTAAAAACTACGTTCTTAATCTATCCCTAATGGATTTTCAAGAATTAGAAGATTGTATAATAATAGTATTCAAACCACATTATATTTGTCATATCCATTACTGACGACATGTTTCACTCAATCTAGAGGTCTTTAGGCCAGCTGGGATACAACAACAGTTGTTATGGAGTGTTCATCTTTTACAAGCTGACGAAGAAAGATTACAATTATACTTGTTATAAGACATTAGTATTAGACCTATTGCATTTTTTAACCTCTACATTCTTAATCCAGTTTCTTAAGGATCTTCAAGAATTAGAAACTCTTATGAGAAGTATAACTGTAATCATTCTTCATCAGCTTGTAAAAGGTGAACATTCCATAACAACTGTTATTGTATCAAATGACTTGCATAAACAGTGTTCTGATCACTGTTGTGTTTGTTGTATCTCGGCCAGCCTGAAGAGCTCTGAATTGTGCAAAACATGTCGTCCACAATGGATATGATAAAGATGGTGTGGTTGGAATATTATGATCATTATACACTTTTCTAATTCTTGAAAATCCCTTAAGGGACTGGATTAAGGATTTAGTGTGTAAAGATGTAATATACCTAATACTAATTTTCTATGCTTTACATTTTGGTGCTGGTGCCAGCACCACACACATACATACTACTGATACAATAAATAATAAAGAATATGCTCAACACATGATCATTCATTCTTACTTAGTTAAAATATTACTCTCACCTGCTCCCCAAAGAAGGCCATCAGTCGTTATTTCACGAACTTGTTTCTCCATAAGTTTTAGATCAGTTTCATCATCCCATGGTTTCACATCAAGGACTACACTAGATTTTGCAATAACTGGGTTTTCTGTAATTATGAGAAAAATTTCATAAAGCAAAGAAATGTATTAAACCTAATGCCATAATTTTTGTTAAGTTATTAATATAACTGGTCAATTAGGCCATATCTACACAGTCTACAGTAAGAAAATAGATAACCATTCCAGAAAGAAAGATATTTTATTAAATAAACCAACAAGAAACAAATGGTAAAACAAATTACCATTAATATATTCAATAGTGAACCTGCCCTTTACAATATTCAAAATAGAAAAAATTCATATCCTGGGTGGATAGTTGCTGAACCCAGGTGCATCTACTGTGTATAGTTGTCAGGAAACGTTTTTTTTTAGTATATATTAAATAAATAAATATATGGGTGTGTTGGGCTAAGGATTCTTCTGCAGTAGGTGTCTAACTTGTTGGTGATAAATTTAAAAAAATAAATGAACAGCATGCACTCCACTTGTTTTCAAAATAATATATATTTATTCACAACAAGTTAAATGTATGTACAAAAATTCCTTACACTATGGAGGTCATAGATATATTTTAAATACTATATAGTTCTCTTCTTCTTCTTGTCAAAAGTTCACTTAGGCCTACTCAATTGCTTTAGAATTCAGTTGACAAGCCGAACTATTTCTCTCTATTTCTATTGCTAGACTATCTGTGTATAGTTCACTTACGTTGCTGTTCAGTTACCCTGGTTGTATCCTGTACTTCAAAAAGCATCTGCTCCTTTTTCATATTTCCAAGAATTGGCTGCGTTTTTGTCAATGTCCACTAAGGCTGGTTCAATTACTTTAGAACACCCTTTGACGAGACAACTTATTCTCCTTATCTCTTATGAAATTGTTAATCTCACTCTAACATATCAACCGTTAGGCCTTTCACTCCCATGACGATTAACTTTTTTTTTGCATTTACCTTTTCTCTGATCAAACTTTTCCTTCCAATGACTTTATTCTCTTCTGCTCTTTTTTTGTCTGCTTGCTGCTATTTATACATCTTATCACTTAGGCCTTTTGGAAATCTCTACATCCTTGACATCAATGGATTACAAATGATGTTCGATAACCTCAACATCAATGAATTATAAACATTTATTCTCCTTATCTCTTACGAAATTGTTAATCTCACTCCAACATATCAACTGTTAGGCCTTTCACTCCCACAACAATTAACTTTTTTTTTGCATTTAACTTTTCTCTGACAGAACTTTTCCTTCCCATGACTTTACTCTCTTCTGCTCTTTTTTTGTCTGCTTGCTGCTATTTATACATCTATCACTTAGGCCTTTTAGAAATCTTTATATCCTAGACATCAATGGATTGCACATGATATTCGATAACCTCAACATCAATGAATTATAAACATCATGTTACCAAATTACGTAACCAAACTTATCATAACTATCGCCTTTAATAATTGCTTTTAACTCTCTTTGTTATGAAAAAACTAAATCACGAAATATTCATTCCCAAGATAAATTAATTAATAATACCTACACTAAACAATTTTTAATATCTTACAGTGGTTTATGCTGAAAATTGGGACTCATAAAAAGAAAATAGTGTTCCAAACTGCAGGGTAGTCTGATAGCACTTAAGATGCCCATTGCATTGATGTATGATATTATCTGGAGTAAGGAGTGATTTCCATCTAGCCACTTGTAGCTTATGTTATGAAAATAACATCTGATGGTATTGGGGCACACTTGAACCTGTCCTGAAACAGTAATGGCCATTGGTTGTGGGTCATTCTCCACACCTCACACCATGAAGAGTCTGTTCTAATGGTCTTGGGTGCATAGAACTACTACTGCCACAATAAATGACAGAGTTTGGAGGTTTTTAAGATGTACTGGAGAGGTGATTGCACCTGACTCTGTAACAGTAGTTGAGTACTACACTTTAAATCTAACTAATTAGACACTTTAAATACAAATATATTTTACAGTAACAGTATAATATTTTTATCACTTTCTTGCAGGTATTTTGATTTTTTATATTACACTTTAAATAATTACATGACATTCTTGAAGTTGTACGAAATATCGAGATCCCCTATTAGTTTATGCAAAACAATTTCACAAACCAATACACATAGCGAAGATATTTCCAGATATCCTAAGCTTTATTTCCTCTTTTGTTTTCCAACATTATTCTCATTTTTTATTCCTCCTTACATTTGTATTTTATTTGTTTTTAAACTAGTTCTGTCTTGCAGCTGAACTAACTTTGATTATGTAATACTCTTTAGTTTTAGAATGAAATTTACTTCTTGAAATTGGATCTGAAAAGAATACTTCAATGTGAAATACAAAAAAAACAACTATAAATAACTTTTTTCTATTCATGTTACAAATCAATATTCAGTAGCTTACTTTTGGCTTTTTTGGCTGCATATTCTTCAAGCCTTTTTTCTCGAAGCATTTTAGCCTCCTGATCTTCCTACAAAACCATAAAGCACATAAAAATAGAGTCTAGTGCACTACAGCAAATTACAATCTACACTACATAAACAGAACACAGTTAAGCACGTTTCAGATGGATGCAGATTTCATAAAAACAATTGAATAAACTATGGACTTGGAAAACACACACCATAACAAACAAATTAACATCAGCTGACAACGAAACTGAAATACAATTGGTACACAACAACTAATACAACTAAACAAACTACAAAATTAATGTATAAATGAACAATTCAGGTTGGTTTAAATAAATAAGTTAAAAACATATTAAATTAACATGTAAAATATAATGAACACACACAACTCTATCAAAGTAGCAGATTATCATATAACTTTTTTGTTTTATTGTATGCCTTTCTCAAGACCTGGCAATTAAATTACTTATAGTTACTTATGCCTAAATAATAATGGTCCTTAGTTATACACCACCTTATTTTTTAGCTTCCTTTAAGATGCAACTGCATGTGGAACATCACATTTGTTTACTCAATAAAGTATAACACAGCAGTAGCATGCAAGATAATTCAACTGTGTTCTGCCATACAATCATACTATATTAGTCTGTAAGACCAAAGTCATCGTGCGATGAATCATGTAAAACAGGTTACACTTATGCTAACTGTAACACTGCTCTAGGAGAGCAGGCATTTCCGTGACCAGCAAGAATCCCCGTTGTTATGAAATCAGTATATTGTCAGTTGTTGAGTTTTCACTTAACGTGGCAAAGACACCATCATTCTGATAATGGAGTACCACAAATTATATTTGAGTTACAAAGCTAAGGCTAGATGCAAGTGTGGCCCATGTATGTTTACTTGCTGCGAGTAACATTAATTTAAGGTTGACCAATGTAAAATGAAAAGCAAAACAACCTGCTTTACAATGCATCTTAAAACAGCTAATATTACAGCATCTAATGTTGACACTACATTTTTATCAGTTGCTTTCAATTAATAATTAGATTATGTTCATCATGTGCTGTCAATATATCTTCCCGTTTCATTGCTTTGTTAATAACATGTTTGAAATAATACAATCCGCACACGTCGTGAAATTATACACATGAAACTAGTAGTGGGATGCCTTGAAGTAAAAGTAACGATCATGATGTCAGAGACATCATTAATCAAAGCTTGATGGATGCAACAGCCAGGGTGATTTAAGGACTTTTAATTGCTGTATTTGTAATTATTATTTCTTTTGGAGTAAATCATTTAAAAACTACTAAAATTGCTTACAAAGATATAAGTACCTCTTTTAAAGGCTGCTCGCTTAATGGGCAATATTAATGTTTGTAAGCCCAATCTGAAAATGTTATGGTTTGAAGACAATGTAACATAAATGGAGATTATCTGACTGCACCTGAGCAATCATATGACACAAAAATAAATCATATCAAGTTAAAATTATTTTAACCTAATTAAAGTACATTATGAATTGTTTGATCATGTTTATTATTTCTAAATAACATTCCTTCAAACAAAGATTACTCATCACAAACTTGAACACACTAAACATAACAAGCAACAGAGCATTACTAACTTTATTCCGTATCCTTAAATCACAAGAAAACTGTTTGTTTGTTTGTTGTTAAGGACAACGCTATAAGATGTATATGTGCTGTACCAACTAGAAGTATCAAAACTCTGTTTTTAGTGTTAAGAGCCTTCAGACCTATTGCTTGGCCACCAGGGGTTAAGGAAACTAAAATTACTTTGTAGTTCCAGAAGTGCTTTGAAAGGGTTTTAATATTGTGTTTTATTATCAGATCAAAATTTCGTTCAGTTAGTGAACTTTACTGACAGTGGAATAACGAAAAAGCAGTCTTTTGTTGCCATCAATAAATCAAAGGTTAGAAGCAAAACCAATCTATTGGTCACGTAGTCTCTGAGTTCTCTGTAGCATGTTTTCCATGTGTTGTGAGCCTATTTGTTCATGTTTAAGAATTATTTCCCTGACTTATTTACTTCAACATGAAATACTTGTAATGCCGAGATATTACAATATAACTAAATTTTAACAATAAAGTAATTATCAGTTGCACTTGCTAACCTCTTCATCAGAACCAAATAAATCAATGTCATCATCATTTTCAACTGTAGCTTTTGGAGGTTGTGACTGAAAACAAAAAGTATTATTGTTAAACATTTAAAACAGGTCACTTATTAATTCTATTTAAATTATGCAAATTACTACTATCAGTATTATTAAAAGTATTATTGTTAAACATTTAAAACAGGTCACTAGTTAATCCTATTTAAATTATGCAAATTGCTACTATCAGTATTATTAAAAGTATTATTGTTAAACATTTAAAACAGGTTACTAGTTAACCCTATTTGAATTATGAAAATTACTACTACCAACCACAACTAACTTAAAAAAAATAAAAGTGCTTCCAAATACTTTAATAAAAATATCACCATTTCAAACAAACCAATGAACTCTTGAACTTAAAGCAAAAACTGTATCTAAAACACTAATAATATAGTAATAATGCAACTACAGAAAGACTTTTCAAGTTGAAAAACAATGTGTGAACAAACCTTATCTGTTTCAGTACTGGCTGTTTCTGGTTTTTTATTTTCAAGTGCACTAACTCTAGCACCTAACTTTGAAACTAAATTTGTCAGGTTGGCAACAGCTGTGGAGAGAGAAAACAAATACATAAAAATGGAAAAGGTATTTAACAAACAATATGCATGTCAGTTTATATTTTAGAAAACTAAAAACTACGTTACAAAGTTACGCTACTAAAAGTTGAAATGGGCTTCAAAATTCTAGATTTCTGAATTTTCACAGGAGTGTGAAAAGTCAGGATAACTGGGAGAATGTAGGTCTGCATGCTAAACGTCATTAGTAATGAACATTTTAGCTATTTACCACCCCTTAAGGGCAGTGTTCCCTCTAAGCTGCACGGCCTCACAACAACCAATCAAGTGCCGCATAATTTATTATTCCAACCACACACATCCTCAATAATGGTGAGGAGTCTCAACATGCTGAGAGCCTTAATAACCCTGGCAGTCAATAGGCCTAAAGCCCAAATAACTAACTGGTGGCATTGCAAAGTGGCTTTATGATCTAAAAATACCCAGCCCCTAAATATATATATATATATATAAATAAAATAAAAAAAATAAAAACTGGTAGCATACATCTGCACATTGTCTTGATACTGGTGCACATGAATTGAAAAAAATTAGAGAGAACATTGCTTAAGGGGCATTTTATGCACTTTTTGTTTTTAGCATGTGAAGTAATACAATTAACATTAGCTGTAATGTAAAGGTAAAGACCTTACAAAAGCTACACATCCCCCCTGTTCATTATTATATGTTGCAGTTTGCTTTAATTATAAATAATATGTAACAAAACCAAGTATGACTGGTACGTGCATTTAATAGTTAAAAATGTATCCAGAGTTTTACTTTATATTAACAATTAAAGGTCTTAGTAGTCAAAGGCTTTAATTAAAAAAGATAAACAGAAATCAACCTAATTTGAGAAATTTGGGATTGGTGTAATTGCTTCATATCACAGTTGGGTAATAAGCTTACCCAAAAGACAATACATGGAAAACTGGATTATTGAATTTTACATAAACATATTAAATCTATACAATTGGGCTTGACCATTTTGACTAATCTTTTAACCACTACGTAATCATGAAACTACACAAAGCTAAAGCTGGGTGATTAGTGGTATTTGATAGTTGATTATATTCAATTAATTGATCAGTACACACCTCCGACAAGGTATCAGAATTGTGTTTAACCATGTAATTATTTTACATAAAATAAGGAAGTTGAACTTCTTATTTTTGAAACTGCTGGTTAAGTTTTAGCAAAAAAATGTTATGTAAAGCACTTTTTTAGCTGATTGTAAAATACTGATGAAACCACAAAAGCATTCCACTCCACGAAAATAAAATATACATGTTACCTGGTTTGCTTCTGTTACCAGTTGAATGTTTTGAGATATGAATTTAAAACCTTTGTTCTACAGAAAACTGCAAAGTGATAGTTTGATACCTGCTAAAGGAAATTTAGAGTTTCTATCTTTTAGTAGTAGCGTTTAATAGTTGGAAGAATATTTCAGTCACATATGGATAAAGTATATTTATATAATATAGCAACTTTATATCCATTTTAATATTACACTGTCTTGTACTTCAACATTTTATTACTTTGCATAGTATTAGGGGAAAAAGCTAGGTTCAAAAGTATAGTAAACTTGGATGAATTACAATTATTTTTAAAGTAGATCGATCCTAGAAAACTTATTATAAGAGGAAAAATCGTATCAAAATAAATACCGTTTCCACTTGCAATTTAAATGGTGAAATGATAAAACTCCATATGTTTGAACACCAGTAAAAACTTCCCCATACTTAGCACCAATGACCTCAAAAACTAATGCTACCACAATATTCTTGAATAACAGAGGAAGTAGAAAAAATCAGTTTTGCAATATACAGGAATTTTAGAACAAAGTTTAGAGGTTTCAGCAACTTACCATTTTTAAGGTTTGTATTTTCTAATTCCAAATGCTGAATTCGTGAAGCTACCTCTGAGATGTCATGAAGGTTACATCCACCCAAGGCACCAGTATCACCCTAAATGTATAAAATCTTTGAGTTTAGTAAAACATAAGTAGAGAAAAAATAATTATATCAATTAAACCTGAGAAGCACAAAACAATATGGCTAGTGTGTTTAAGTAAAGAAACATTATTACCTCTTAAAAAGCAAAGCTTTTTCATGCTTTTAAAAACAAACTGAAATTCATGAATTGGTCACATTTATACATGTATTTTTGCATAAGTTAATAATATTATATTATTTTATTAAATAAAAAAATAAAATCAATTGGACACATCTTTAGGCACTGTCACACAGAGTCTGTGCCCTGATTCTATTTGAAAATGTCCAGAATCCCCAGTTGGTGTCTTGAAAAGTTGGAATAGAAAACCATGATCAATATCATATAGAAACACCAAAATTTCGATGCCTATGGGCCAGATATCTGAACCTTTTAAGTACATAGCAATGCCTCTGAAATCAATTATCCTAAAAGTTTTCAAAGAAGTTCCTTGATATTATACAACTTTTCCCCCTTCTGGTTTTGGAAGAAATGCAATGAACATCCAAGCTTTTATTTTAAATATTAGAGATAATAAGTGAAGAAGTCACTATGGCAAGTTTTTAAATTATTCAGATCATACACAAATGACTACTGAAGAGTAGTGGCACATCGTTTGCTCTTTTTTTTTCTTAAACTCAATTCACTGAATATTTTATTGTATAACTATTAACAGAACCAGTAAAGATCTATTAAGTCTACTAATGTAAGTGTATTGATATTTGAATGATAAAAAAAAAAAGTTTAATTATTTACTTTCATAAAGGGATTAATAAAACAAATTGTTTTCTAAATATTCACCTAGTAATTTACTTTCTACCTAGCCAAACCGATAGCAGTATTAAACAGCTACTTACGTTGAATCGATGCAACCACTTCCAGGGTCACCCCTAACCTAGTTATTTCATATATATTTCTAACTATTCACACCACTAAACTCTTTGTATGCCAACACAAATATACACTGTTGTGCATCTAATATGCAAATATTGCTATAATTAATAACTTTCTGATAAGAGCAAATTTATGTAAAAGTGGAGAAGAATGCATTATCAAATATAATGATGGCAAACAAAATTCATATTTTTCTAGGAGGACGTGACAGCTAAATCATTCTAACAACAATACAAATGATCTGCACATGAATTTTTTGGGGGCAACAAATATAATTACCTGTGAGAGCAAGACTGTTTGTTACAATAACTTCTACTAACCAAAAGAAGAATTTACCCACCTATACGAAATCTCTGATGATTATTTATATCTAAAAAAAACGTACCTAGACTCTTAATATATTGATTCAACCTTACTACATCTAAAAAACATGGTTCAAAGCAATGTTAATTTTGTTTGTAATTAAATAGTTTCAAAGACATAAAAAAGAAGATGTACAGTTCTTTTACAGTAAACAAGAGAGATTTAGTATTTCACACCTATCTAGAGACAGAAAACATTAAGAAGATATATTTGAAAGAAATTATTAAAGCTTTTTTTTTAGTTGGTTGAAAAAACAAAATAAATCATATACAGAGCATACATGCAAAGCAAAACCAAATATAACACCACTGTACACATTCATTAGTTTATGCAGGACAACAGTCCCAAAGAGTTGTTACTCACTGAGATCAGGGAATTTTTTATGTGTTGGCGAGCTCGGGCGATTTCATCAACAAGAGAGCTTTGTGGAGCTTGCTTGCCCAGCAAGTTTTTCATAGCTGGCTTTTCCTGACAAAAGGAAATGGGTGCAAGACTAGCATGTTAACCAACTGCAACTGTTTTCCAAAATTAAAAAAACTAAGAACTATTTTCAATTATGTGCTTTAAAAAAATTACACATGAAATATCAAATTAACAATAAAAAAAAAATTTGTAAAGAAACAATGCAGTATTCTTGTTGTTCAGTTTCTTTTTGCCTTCATATAGATTACATAGCACATAATACCATGGTAGTAACAAATCAAGTTGACATTTCTAGTGATATTAATTAGTTATACAAATCTAATTTGGTATACAATGAGTAACATTGCAGTGGCCTGTGATTTTTTCATCTTCAGAAAAACTGAAGGACCATCCAATTAAATATAACTGTAACCATAAAGACATTTGGAATTGATATTTCCAAATTTTCATTACATGTGTGGCCACCAAAAGCATAATTCCTGAAGATTTAATTATTAGATCTGAATAAGAAAAACCAATAGTGTTAAGGATTAGATACTATAAATAAAAGTGACCAAAGCCAAGGATTATCACAAAACAAAGCTATGTGTAAGCTACAGTTGTTTTTTAAAATATCAGATACCAATATTTAACTGTTAGTGTTAACCATAATTTGGAACTGACTACTACAGCCTAATGATGCTGTCAAGCTTTGAAATACACTATGCAAGAAGTCCCAATTATTTCAAAGCTTTATTATTTGCCAATACATATTCAATCAGTTTTATTTGTTGGCAATATGCTGTGTGAAAAGTCCATTACTTAGAAATCATTAAGTGCAACACATATTTAATCACAAAAATATTCATTCTGAACTATGATTAAAAATTCTTGCACAACATATTAACAAATATATTTTTCAACATTAAATGACAGCTAAATCATTCTAACAACAAATTCTTCAGTCAACAAACAGAAGTGGGTAAAAAGGCATTCATGTAAAATATAATAACAATAATAATGAAAAACAAAATTCATATTCTTCAAACAAATAAATCTGAAGATTTCCCAGATTTTGTATTGTTTACTAGCATCCAAACAGGAAATAAAAATAAGTTTTTAACAATGTAACAACAGTAAAACTAAGCCATAACTTCCTGTTATGTTTAAAGAATAAAGAGCTTTCATATACAATTGCTACTATATAAATTATTTCACAGAATCAACTATATAACATGATTGGTCAAACAATAATAGATACATACTATACCACCTGCTTGCTTTTTTACCAGCTGTTCTTGCCACAATCTTTCAGCATCAAGATATTTACCCTGGTCAAACCAAACTGTCTCATGCAGCAGGGGTTGAGCCATGACTGAACAGTATACTAACTAGAAACAACAACATGTAAGTGGAATAAAATATAAGATAATAATATATTTAAAAATACCTGACTGCATGAAACTTCAACATGTGCAACATAGAAATAGACAAAAATACTTATTACTCAATTTATATCATTTAGTCTGTTTTGCATTTGTTATAAAAATACAAATTTAAAAGTGTTACAGTATTAACAAGTGTATGCTTTAAAATTCTTAAAAAAAGGTCTGAGAAGGGTACTGGAGCTGAGGACAGAAAAGACTGTTTATGTTTAAACAATGAGAGAAACATATAGTTGCAGTGATGCATAATAATGCCAGAAGAACAAGTGAAAAGAAAATGTTTGACATGGAATAATATTAAATGGACAGATACTGAAACAATAATTTTCAAAAGAATCAAACAAAGAAATAATGAATAAAACATCTAACTTTCAAGACTACAGTTAAACTTTTTCTATATGGTATATCTTATTATAGTTATATAAAAGAAATTAGTTACAAAATGATATGATAAAATTAAAATGTGAAGAAAGTTAAATATTTGGTTAAAAACCTTTTGAACAACTGCAATGTCAGCTGTAAAAATATGGCATATCTATAAAACTAATAGTGTATAGCCCGTCAAAATGACGGGGCAAGTACAACCA